GCAGACAGAGCCAGGTGAAGCCAAGTTCCCGTCTCCCTGAATTGTTCTCTTTCCTTCTTTCCGTTATGTCTTAATTAATGTTACAAAGAACAAATTAACAAAGACAACAAAAAAATCTTTAAAGCTGTTTAATTTTAAAAGGTTGAAAAAATCAGTCTAACAATATCGATTATAATTACTTTAATCTGTAATCTTTTATGATCTCATTTTAAACCATTCTTTCTAGAATAAAATCTATCCAAAGAAAACATAGTATCAGGTAGAAAAAGGGGTGTCTTTTTATTTCCCTCTAGCTATTAGAAAGGCCGGGAGAAAGCTGATTTATCAACAGAAGAGGGAAACAATAAAATGAAATCCAGGTTTGACTACAGGTCCAAAGCAAACAGAGTAAATGCTTTTGAGACTCTGATGAAGTGTGGTTTTGAGGCACCTGACAGGGCCCTACATTAGTGTGGATCTAGGTGTCAAAATTCAGCACAGTGGAAGAGGACAGGACAGTCCCTAGCCTGACCACAGACCAAGGTGTCCTAAATTCTCTCGTGGTCCAGGAGTGTTTTCACAACATAATTACCTTCAGTTGCTCATTCCCTAGTTACTTGGGTGTGTGCGCGAACAAATGAGCAGGTGTGCTGTTGATTGATCAATAATTATCAATTACCAAGGAGCAACCTGCTCATTGTGGTTAGGGGCTAGTAGCCACTTAAATAATGACATCTGTCATAATTTTCATTCTTCACTCTGTCTTGGATCTTACTGTCTCCAAACTGTACTCAAATGCTTAAGTTTTCTAAAAATAGAGTAACCCGATTGTTAAGGTGACTTTAGTTACCTTCACAGAGGCATGTTTTAGGGTTGAATAATATCTAATAATTACTGAGCGCTCCCCATGTGCCTGGCATTGTATAAAGGCCTTTACAAACAGTGTAAGTCAAAGTGGGCTGTGCAGTAGGTACTATTATTCTCTCCATTTTACAGATACAGTTTCATTGTCTATGAAATGATGGTAGTGGCTGTTTTTGTAAAGTGAGAGGAGGCACTGAGCTCAGTAATTCACATCTGGAAGGGGACAGAACTGGATCCATATTTAGCTCTGTCTGATGTCTATTCTGTAAACATCCTTCATTTCTCATAGCTGCTGTGTGTCGCTTAGCCAGTAATACAGTAGAACCTCCATGGTTGACCACTTCCTTACAATGACCACCTCTTTAAGTTGGCTTAACTTTCATAGACTGGACATGCACCACTTACGTACAGTAGGCCTAGTTCCTTACGTTGACCACTTCCATAGGTTGACCAGCTGGTTACAGTCTTTTGTGTGGTCAACTTACAGAGGTTCTACTGTATATTAAAATGATGGAAGGAAGTGTAGGCAATATAGCTTTGTATAAAGAGCTAAAATAGTATGTTAGTTTTAAAATAATAGGACAGTTATTGAATATAGTGATTCTCAACTGGGAGTGTTTGGAGACATATGGGGTCATTTTGTGGACTTTCAGGATGCTCCGCGGCCTGCAGTGTGTAAAACAGTTCTAGGCAACAAGGA